CATACACATACACACATACACATACACACATACACATAACACAAAATGGATTTTTCAATAAAACATGTTGGGCGTGAAAAAGCGGTGTTAATATGATGCCACTCTGACAAAAACATTAAATATATCAAATTCCTTTTAAAATCTCCTTATTATCTTTTTCACTGTCAAAATAGCAATTGTTGTTACTGTAATGATAGCTATCGTTAATATCACTATTGTTGCTGCTATTGTTGTTGTTGTTGTAACTGTAAAGAGTGTTGCTTTGAATTTGATTGCTCACTTCAATTGTTGTATTCACCATGCTCAATAATGTATTGTTAATTTCTACTATTATGATCATTATTGCTATTGTTTATAGTTGATTATTGTTGCCTTTTAGTAATTATATTGTACAGGAAATGAGCTATTATTGTTGCATACATTTTCTTCTTATTTATATTTCATTTAGCTTATTCTTTTTTAACTTTTTTCTTTTGTTAATTATATTTGCTTTTTTCATTTTCAAAACTTCAACATTTACAAAAAAATAAAGATTTAAAGGAATTAAAATGGACCTGTTCGAGATTGTGGTGAATGATTTTGCAAACTTTGTAGCAATTGTTGTTGATGGAGGAAATTAGCGTAGTATTGTTGCAGATGTGGATTGAACAATGATAATTGAGCAGCCATTTGATTGGGGAAAACGGAACTGCCAGTTGTAGTGGGCGTTACAGCCGGAAATGCCGCTGCGGCTGCCATAAACGGCAAACCCGGAAAAGCCATAGATGCGGCAGCTGCCGCAAATCGTTGCTTCTCCTTATCCATATCACCACTACTGCTACTTGTACTACCACTGCTAGACGGTAATGAACACATCCTTGGCAATGACATCACAAGAAATCTGAAAACGAAATAAATCTGAAATACACTTAAATATCAATAAAAGCATAACAAAATCATTCATTCAGTTCAAATTTCATTAAATAATTTAATTCAAATATTTTGTGTATTTTTTGCTCAATTATTATCATTCCATTTGTTCCTTACTTTAAAAATCAACTTGGAATTAATTTTTACAATTTAACTAGTCAATGTTTAGTTGAAACAATAAAATTCTTATTTGAAAGGTTAAAGTTCAGTTACGCTGTAACATTACGAGTTACTGATAATGAATTTGTAGTGAAATGAAGAATGAATATTTTTAGTAAGACTTGACATGAACTAATTATTTGCTTGATTCTTGAAAATTCTCTCATTC